AGAAGTATTAATCATTAATATATGTCTTATGTTATCTGTGCAGACTGACAGTTAGTTCTAAGAGAACGTTTGTTATATTTTCTGATTTTTCCAAATAGACTGTGTGAGATGAGGTGCACACAGCTTTTGCAGACTCTGTTCTTAAAAGAAGGTTTATAACTGCATGCAAAATGTATGTGCAAATTTATTCCTAACTTGCAGTTAACTTTATCGCAACTGAGCTCTGAAATTAAGTGGCCGTGTTCACAAATGGCTGTAATTAGTTAGCTGCATACTTACTAATTTGTTCACAGAGCTAACGTAACCAGCATGCACAGAAACGCATGGCCAACTCTGGGGAACAGCACACGCGTGAGAGGTGCTCCTCATGTTGACTTTGTCTGCACTTCTGCGGCCGCTCTCCGCAAAACAGGTCCTCAGATGCCCAAGTGAGAGGTGCGGAGGGGAAACCGGTGCTGCCAGGCCAGACCTAGCAGGTGCCCGTACCCACAGACAAGGAAACAGGAATGTCAACTTTTGAAAAATCTGATATTCAGCTTGTACCTTGTCTTGCTGATCAGTTGGGTTTTTGATGTTACTTCCCTTTTTTTCAGTTTCTTCTTCTGAGTTTTGGCTGTTTTCTTATTTTTCCATTTTTTCCCCACTATAGGGACAGTTGATGTCACCGTCCACAAGAAAACGAAATTTAAAAAAACTTGTCTGAAATGATTGTAAAGTTTTTAATCTCTGACAAATGATTGATCTTTCAATATTGTCAACGCTTTCAAATTTCAATCTAAATTTATGCACATGTTATAAATACATTTGCTGTTATTTGTGCAGTGTTAAAAGGCAACTCAGCAGCATGAGGTACAGAAGAGTTTTTAGGCACGAGATGTTGAAATCCTGTGGAATTATTTATACATTTATATTTATTTACAGAATACTGTGGCACAAAACCCTTTCCTGTTTTCATACAGCTTTGTTTTGCAAGAGTCCTCCAGACAGGTGTTCCTGCGCATTGGCCTAAATCTTTTAATCTGCACATCCAGTTTCTACAAAAGGGACAAAGTTGTGCTGCAAGTATTTCCTTTATTTCTTGTTTCCTTTCCTTGTTTACAGCAAGTGGTACTTCTCAGCTTGACTCTCCTATCTGTCTTTGTTGATCTCACTGAATAAGAGGATATTGAGGCATTCCTAGAAAACAGTAAAATTTCTTTTTACCTCTTGTCTGGCCAATTGGATTCCTTAAAAATTGAGTCTGGCTTTCTGTATTTTAGGGAGCATTGTATTTGTTGCTAGCTAAGAGGACTTTTGGCTGCTTTATGGCTTCTTGAAGACTTTGCTGAGTTCTGCAGACTTAATGCCTCACCCTCAGTTCTGCACATCAACTGAAACACAGTCCCAGCTCACGTTTGCCTGCAGAAAGCCTTGGTGTTCAGTAGAGAGTGGGTGTCCTGTTGCTTCTTTAATTTCTTTTGTCTGTTGGTGTCTAGATTTATGGCCAGCATTTGTCAGTGCATGGAGCTGCGGTGCTGTGTGAGCTTTCTGTATCCCAAGCCTCTTCCTCTACCGAATGGGAGGCAGCAAGGTGTGCTGGCATCCGCAGCTCCAAAACGGATCAGCACCTTTCCCAGCTGGTTTGAAAGGTAGAAAAGCTGCACCCAGATAGAGGTGGCTCGGGACAAGAAGTCAATGAAGGCTGTTGGTGGTCAATGGTTGACATTGGACATATTTGTTGCAAAGCTGTTATAAGCACAAAAAGTTGTTGTATTGAAAGGCATCTATCTGAAAATCATATGCTCAGTTTCTTACAAACTATTGGTGCTTTGTTGTTGTTTTGGATGGAAATCTGTTTAGCCAATTCTGCTTCTGGGAGCACTGTATCATTTCTGCCAGTCCCTGAAGAGGGTTTAGGTTTCACCGTAAGACTATTTCAAATGGGACCAGGTGATGCAGGAAAGGTCTTCTCTAGAAGCCATCAGCAGCACCAAACCCATCATGTTTTTAATAATCTTGAAATACTTGGGAGTGTCAAGCTAAGGTTGCTGCTCAGTCTTCCAATCCTTTCAGCACACGTCAAAAAAACCCCAAACACTAGACAGAGGTGTCTTATCAAAACATTACCAGAAGCTGCCATTTGGCAGCGCCCTGAGGTGGTACCTGGCAACATTAACCCTCAAAGAGCAGTCAGTAAAGTCCTATCAGTGGTCTAAGTGTCTAAGTGATTGGCTTTGAGGAGGGCTGTTTCCCTCCTTGGCTGCATAGCGGGGCATCAATGGCAGCGTGCACAGGGTCGGGGTGTCATGCCCAGACGCAAGGCACAAATACAAACACAGGAGGTCTGTGCCCTGGGAGGTTCCTCCAGGTTTAGATGCCGCCTTTCAGCCAGGCTGCAGTTCTTTCCCCCTCCTCCTTTTGAAAAGAGGGGACGTTGCAATGTTTTGTTGATTTCCCTTTGGCTTTGTAGCTGCTTAAAAAGTTGCCTGGGAAGACAAGTGCGTGTGTCTGCGTAAGGGGCAATTCCAAGAGGAGGGTCTCTAGTGATGAAGCCTCGTATTTGCCCAGCTAGGTGGGAGCTGGGCAGGTTTGTTATGACATAACTCTTTGAAGGGGAAGGGCGGGGGGGGGCTATGGCAGAGAAAGGAGGAGGAAGAGAGAACTGGCGTCTGCAGCACCCTGGCAGTGGTATCAGACGGGATCTGGCAGCTTTGGGGTAAGCTACCACCTCTCCGCTCCACCGCTCAGAGCATCCTGGATCTCCAGCTCGAAGGGGAGAGTGAGCCAGCAGCGGCAATCATGGCAACGTCAAATGGTTTTATTTCTTCATGACCTCTCTCTTCTCCTCTCTCTCATCAATAATCCACCTGAGGGCTTTTTTTTCCCCACCCCCACCCCCCTCCTCCTCACTCGCTTTTTGGATGTGGAGAGAGGGG